TGGATTAAGAAAGTAAAAGTTTAAAGGTATTTATTTCAATTATTATAATAAGGGTTTGTTTTTAAAAAAAAATTTTTTCCAAAGGTACAAAGTATCACGTTGGCTCGTTTGTAACATACGAAACATATATGAATTGATCAACAAAGTGGCGTAAATTCCACTTCCAAATTTGGAAAGAACCCTGACTGTATTATGAAAGAAGAAAATTATCTTTTTTTTGACATTTCAACAACCAAACATAATGATTTCAGGTTATCTTAAACAAGCTGAACGTTATTATTTCAATAACAACAATAGCAACAATAACAGTATAATAATCAATTCGAATATAAAAAATTCATTAAAATTGTATAAATGAACCATATATTATTAAAATATCATCATATCAAAAAAAAAAAATCAATAAATATATCATCATCATTATTATCAACTTTTGAAATACTAATTAAAGTTTGGAAATATGATAAATTTTGATAAATTAAAATTATGCATCGAAGAAATGAAATATTTAAATATTCAATCAAATTTAATTGAAGTTTTTGAAAAAATCCATTATGGAATGATCTATCACCAGAATTAGAATCAAAATAACAGTTGAAACTTGGACAATTTTTAATTAAATCATTAATTTTATCTAATAGAATAGAATTAGCATTAGAATTTATGAATCAAGGAAAATTAAAATTTGCTGATGATGTGTTGATAAATGGGATGATTTTAAAGTGTTGGAAAATATTTGGAATAGTTTGGAATCACATTTAGATATTGATCAAAATTTAATTGATAACTTTAAAGGATTTTTAGATTCTGTTTAAGAATCATCATCACACCATCATCAATATAATTTATAATTTTTCAATAAATAGATGTGGAAAAACTTTCTGATCAAAAGAGTAAATTTTTTTGTCTTTCTCTCGTGTACTTATATAAATATATAAAAAACAAGTATTTTCAAATATCTTTAAAAAAATTGATAATAAACTGTCTCTTTATCATTAAATAGTAAAAAAGTATTTTTAACCACTATCACTGCCGATTAACTTATTTATCACTATCATCACTGTATTGTTATCGTTATTATTGTGATGTCTTAAATTCAAGTTTTTTAATTTGCCTAAGATTAAGTGATTTGCGGCATATAGAACACATTTTTTGTGCTCTAACCGCAGTAACTATACATTCATAGCAAAAAATATGACCACAGCTAGTTGCTGACACGTTTTTAGGATAATCCAAACATATAGTACATTTTATTTGTAATGACTCTGTGTCTCCTTCAACAGCAACAACACTTGCATTCGTATTATTATCTTTTTCGTCATCTTCGTCATCATCAATTATTATAATTTCTGGTTGTAGTATAGACTGCTGTATTTGCGGTGGTGAATATAGAAAACAGTAAAGTGGTGATTCACGTGATATTATAGGAGTTGTAATATCTATAACGTCATCGTCATCGTCATTGTTGTTGTTGTCGTAGTTATTGTTACCATTATCATCATCGTCGTCATCGTCAATGACTATAATATTACTAGAATGATCAATATCTTGTACATGATTAATATCATGATCATCATTATTTATATTTTCAACAAACTGATTATTGTCTTCAGATAAATCAATTTCATGAACAACATTGTTATTGTCATTTTGTATAATATTAATCTGATAATTATCATCGGCCCGAATTCCCTCACCACCGTGATCATTATTCTGTATAATATTAATATGATCATTGTTATCATCAACCCGCGAAGCATTAATACCTTCAATCCCATCATCATTATTATCAACAAAACTTGTGACATCAATCACAACCACTTCAAGATTATCGACATTGTTTTCTAAAGCGTTACTAATCCTGTCATCATTATAATTGTTATCGTCAACATGACCGACATTATTATAATCCATAACATCAGTTCCACCAGCATCCTCTGAAACAACAGCCTCATTATTATTATCGATATTCTCTACAACATCAACATCATCAGTGGAAGAGAATGAGGAGGAAGAGGAGGAATAAGTTGCCGATAATGGTGTCAGTGGTATAATTGCTGGTAATGGCGGTGTAAATGTTTGTACGAGTATTTGTGTTGATAGTGGTGAAGGAGATGACAAGTCGATTATTTCTACATCATTATATTGCGAAGATGGTGGAGTATTAGGACAATATTCGAATCTGCTGCTATTATTATTATCATCATTATCATCATTATTACTATTATTGTTGTTGTTGTTATTATTATTATTACTGCTGCTACCACTAGTATTACTAGTACTATTGATAGTGTTGTTTATATTATTGAATAAACCGGAATGAAGTAAATTATGGCTAGAATCCTGCATACATATATTATAGGTAATAAATTAGCTCATTAATAATGTTATTATATTAAAACATAATTGTATCTGTGAAATAGGTTTTTTTTTATTGAATGTAATGCATTTATGACATTATTACATACATACATACATACATACATACATACATACATACATACATATATAATATAATAAGTAAATGGTTCCAAAAGAACATATGCTATTTTTTCTTTACTGTCTTAAGATTTTAAATTTTATTTGATCTTTAATTTTTTGATCGATCGCGTGAATAAATGGAGTAATCACTTACTTTGAAATTCTTGCTGTTCATTTCAGTAAATAGTAAACTTTTTTAATTAAAAAAGTGTATATATCTTTTTTTTATAAAAATTGTCTCGTTTTACTTTTATTAAAAGATGTTTATTTTGGAAGAAAAGGAAAAAATAGTGGTTTTTTGGAGCGAGGTGTGTCACCATTCACTATTAATACACAAATATGCATGTGTCCTTTCTTCTCAACAGCCATCACCAAAAAATGTGATTTCATTTTTTGTAACTAATATTGAAGCTTCCCACACAATCCCTATTTCTTTGAAACCTGTATGCTTACAATATTTTACAACTAAGTAACTTTGTGATGTACCCTTATGTAGCACAAGCCACACATCAATATACAAGTTTACTATTACAGCCAATCGCCCCATCAATGAATTGACCTATATAGACGCGAAAAGTGGGGTTATACCCCAAATCAACAACATTTGGATCGGTCTAAAGACCTCCTATTTCTGCGTCACGCGCTTGATTTCAAAAATTGCGATTTTGTGATTCGTTCAAAAAAGGTCTTCACATGATTTTGGTTAAAAAATTATTTTCCTTACTGCCAAATTTAGATATGATGGTCGAGTATTAGTCTAAATTTAGTAATGATGGTCAAAACTAGTATAAATTTAGAATGATCTGGCGTTCAAATTCCTCATGAAAGTGATCAAATTTCTTTTAGGAAAGATTTTCTGTATCACGAAATTTTTAAGCCGATCATCGGCTTTTTAGGAAATCACAAGGGAAGATCACTCCGAAATTTTACAATTTACCAGTCACAGGACATGTCACGCAGATCAATACAGTCAGGGATATTTCCATAGATGGAAATACTAAATACCGTAATGATTGATGGTATGAAAAATTCTAGAAGAAATTCTGATTGGCTAAATTCAACCAGGGATAATACCCTGTAATGATCGACGTT